TCTCGAAAGAGGGTGCCATCGAGAGTGTTGTTAAGGGGAGTAGACTGAGGTAAGGGGGGATGGTTGCAACCGAAATGTGCAACCACTCGGAACGTTTTTCCTGAAGGGGTGGTTATGACTTGTTATTTCATGTATTTCATCGTGCTTTATAATTCGCGAGTTTTGTGAGCTTCTCTTATCGGTGATGATGTGTCGATTATTAGTGACTGCTACTGGCTTTGCATTTGCAGAATAAAAACTAATTCGTCTTAGATTCGCATTTTACAACAGTGCCCCTCATTTTAACATCCATCATTTCCGAAATCAATAAAACATGTAGCCTGCGGGCATCAAAACACTACGGTCTGCGGGTGGAATCAAGGACTGCCAGGGGGAAGCAAGGAACAGGAGGGGAAGACAGTCAACCTCTTCTCTACAGCACAGATTAAAGGCAGCGGCGAAAGGGGTGCGGGGACAATGACCGTTTGAACGATGGTCAGTGACCGATGAACATTTGTGCAAAATAAAAATTTTTGCGAAAACTGAGCTACAAATTAATAGTGCTTTCTTTGCCACGAAATGATTCTGACAATGTGCAGTGACCACACTGACCTTCGAAACTGGATTTTTGAAGTCCGTGGAGGATATGCAGCAATGCATGTGAGTGGGGAGGGGAAAGAAGGGGAAAAAAGGTGAACTCGCCGAATATGGGTGGGCACGATTGATGAGCTTGTCTCGACTTTCTTAACTGCATTTTTTTGCTGTGAAATGGTATCAGTGATATCACTTCACACTGTACCCACTGAATCATCAGGAATACTTATCTTCGGTAATTTATCACAAATGCACAGACGTACCTGCAACACTTGCAAAACTTCTGCAGCGTTTCGAACAGTGACATCACCGCTATAATTACTGTTGGAGCAATTACCACTCAGACTATTTCCGGAGCTGTAGAGCGAATTTGATGTTGACTTTCTGATGTCACTGCACTTCATCAACTGAGTCATCAAGACTGGTTATTCCCCGAAATTTATATCATGCATCCACTTTTAGTTGTGTACATACACTTTTAGTCGTATATTTGCTTGAATACGCACAGACACACACTTTTATTCGTGAATATGCTTGAATAAGCACAGACATATATACGTACCTACTCAAGCAAACACAAGTGTATATACGACCACACACACACACATAAACTTAAATACATACGCACTTGAATACAAATACACATGCATACATATACAAATAAGTAAGTACATGCGTACATACATATACACAAACATACGTACGTGCATATATATATATATATATATACAAATACATACACACATAAATACATGTAATTAAATTACTTTTAAGATGGAACTTTCTATCAAAGTCCCGGAACTCTGCAAAAATTGTGTCATCCATTTTCACTGGAATCACCATCAATCTGTTCCTCGGTCAAGTTGTGATGTCATTTTCGATGCTTGATCTTTTAAAATTCTTGATCGATTGATTGCATGTCTTGTCAGATTGCCTCGTTAATTCATTGTCCACGTACAGTGCCCTCACAATTCTGAGATCACTGAGAGGGAAGGCAAAATGAGGTCATTTTGGAAGAGCGTGTGCTGGCAATTTATCTTATTCTGGCACTTAAAATACAATGATGATCGTTGATCATCTATCTGATGCCAGCTGGCTAAGATGAGGTTGAGGGAAATTTGAAGGGCGCCACTATTAATCTCAACCCATACATCACAATAATCCTTAAATTCCCCTTTACTTCTTTTGTTGTCCTCCGTTGATCAATGGTCATCACTATTTTTAGTGCTAATTTTTCAATTCACCAGCCTTTTTCTATATCTCTTATTTTCATATTCGTTGCTTTTCGTGGAAGTAAAAGACCAATCGGACAGCAATCGAGGAGGTGGCGGACAAGTACTAACTGGAGATATGCAGCTCAGAATTGAAACTAGCATCCCAGTAACAT